GGGGGGCAGTGCCACTGGATTGGCAGACTGGGGTGGTGGTTCCCCTCTTCACAGGGGGACTAGAGGGTGTGCTCCAATGACAGGGGCATCACTCTCCTTAGCCTCCATGGTAAGGTCTATTCAGGGGTACTGGAGATGCGAGTCCAATCATTGGTCAAACCTCAGATCCAGGAAGAACAATGTGGGTTCCGTCCTGGCCGTGGAACACTGGACCAGCTCTTTACCCTCACTAGGGTCCTCAAGGGGTCATGGAAGTTTGCCCATCCAGTCTACATGTGTTTTGTGGACTTGGAGAAGGCATTCGACCGTGTTCCTCTGGGTACTTTGGGGTGGGGGGCTCCATGAGTATGGGATTGGGGGCCCTTTGTTATGGGCTGTTCGGTCCCTATACAAGCAGTGCAAGAGTTTGGTTTGCATTGCCGGCAGTAAGTTGGACCCCTTCAGGGTGGGAGTTGGACTCTGCCAGGGCTGCCCGTTGTCACCGATTCTGTTCATAACTTTTATGGACAGAATTTCTTGGTGCAGCCAGGGGGCAGAAGGATTCTATCCCTTTGCAGATGATGTGGTCCTTTTGGCATCATTGTGCCATGATCTTCAGCTCTCACTGGAACGCTTTGCAGCCGAGTGTGAAGCGGTTGGGAATCGCGACTCAGCACCTCCAAATCTGAGGCTATGGTCCTCGACCGGAAAAGGGTGGATTGCTCTCTTCAGGTCGAGGTGAGGTTCTGCCTCAAGTGGAGGAGTTCAAGTAGCTTGGGTTTTTTTCACAAGTGAGGGAAAAATGGAGCGTGAGATTGACAGATGGATTGGTGCAGCATCTGCAGTGTTGCGGACTCTGTACTGGTCCGTTGTGGTGAAGAGGGAGCTGAGCTGTAAGGCAAAGCTCTTTGTTTACCGGTCAGTCTACGTTCCTACCCGCACCTATGGTCACAAGCGCTGGGTAGTGCCTGAAAGAATGAGATCGTGGATACAGGCAGTTGAAATGAGTTTCCTCCGCAGGGTAGCTGGACTCTCCCTTAGAGACAGGGTGAGAAGTTCAGTTATCCCTGAGAGACTCCGAGTAGAACCGCTGCTCCTCCACCTCGAGAGGAGCCAGTTGAGGTGGTTCGGGCATCTGGTAAGGATGCCTCCTGAGTGCCTCCCTCGGGAGGTGATTCGGGCATGTCCGACTGGGAAGACCCAGGATACGCTGGAGAGACTGTCTCTCAGTTGGCCTGGGAACTCCTTGGCCTCCCCAGAAGAGCTAGAAGAGGTGCCTGAGGAAAGAGATGTCTGGGCCTCCCTGCTCAAGCTGATGCCCCCGCGACCCGAATTCAGAACAAGCAGAAGATAATGGATGGATGGCCATTTTATTTATGTATTTTGTTTGTTTACCATTTTTAGTTTCTAGCTAGCTCTGTTCTACTTTTAACTCCTGTTCTTTTTGTCCAGTTTTTTGCTTCTTTATCAAATTTAAGCTGTTTTTGCATTTATTAAAATTCTGGCCTATAGGTAAACCATAATATGACTTTTTTCTGTTAAAAATGTAATATATATATATATATAAATATGTATATATTTGCAACATTAAATAACAGCATCAACTACCACATTAGTTTTAGATTATTCGTCTTTTTTGATCAACAATCTATTGTTAGAAAACTAAAAATGAGACACGTGGTTTCTAAAATCCTAAAATGCCATCAAATGTAAAACAAACATTTCAAAGTGAGTACTTGCCTTTTCATTTTGACAATGCTACCTCACAAGATGCAAGTAAATATAAAGATTTAGTTGTTTATTTTGTTTGTTACTTGGATATACTATAGTAGCTATACATGACGGTAGCACAATAGCTCAGTGGTTAGCACTGTTGCCTCACAGCAAGAAGGTGCTTGTTCAATCCCCGGTTGGACCTGGGATGTTTCTGTGTGGAGTTTGCATGTTCTTCTCTTGCTTGCATTGGTTTTCTCTAAGTACTCCAGTTTCCTCCCACAGATCAAAAACATGCATGTTAAGCTGCCTTCAGGCCTCTCTTGCAAAAAGAGATCTGTGATCTCAATGAGATTTGTCTGGTTAAATAAAGGTTAATAAAATAATAATAAAATAAAATAATGTAGCCATGTACCATTCATCGAATACTGGTATGTACTAGATACCAACTTGGTGTGTACAAGGTACTTTTAATGTACATACCTTTTATCTTATTGGTACCTACTAGCCTTTGATTATGTATTTACCTACTGGTATTTTAGCCCCAAAATAAAATTATTTAAAGCAGTTTTTCTTGCTTTGTTTATGTAGTCTTATTGTTGTTAAAAGAAGTGGGGATGCTAGAATGTTAAATATGTACTTAATCATTGATTAGGCAGTTATTTTGGTACATAACACTATTGAAGAAACACTATTGGCCACTCCTCCCAAATGGTGGCGCAGAGGTTAGAGAAGATGGGCCTGTGATTGGAAGATCGCCAGTTCAACTCCCGGTACCGACATCAAAATGATAGGTGGAACACCCACACCTGCCTCCATCCTCATTTGCCCCACTCTAGGACCTTGAATAAGGCCCTTAACCCCCACCGTCTGCTCCGTCAGGTTCCCTAGACAGCAGCTCTCTGCTCCACACAGAGGGCTGTAGTAGCTCGTGATCTGTGGTTGCATCAGGCGTAAAAACAATTGCCTAGTCTTCGTGCGACTCAGTTTGCTGTGGCAACCCCTGAAGAAGGGAGCAGCTGAAAGAAGAAGAAGAAGAAAGAAAAAAACACTATTGAAGAAACACACTGGTCCTTGTGTTGTTCTAAATAAAATGTTAGATCTACAGTAATCCTCCTTGGCTGATGTGATAATTTTGCACCACTAGATGGAGACAAACTAAGAGAAATGATGTACTGTAATTCTAAAAACGGTCAGAGTAGTCCCTGTGCTAGATGGCAAATTAAATCACACAACAAAAATAGTTCTGTTAAATTCAAGACACACAAGTGTCCTTTATTATAGCAATAAACAGAATCAAAATTAAAAAAAGGAAAATACATATATTGCAAATTATAACTTTACAGTGAAAGCAAACAAACTGTCACTACAACCTAACATGTTCTTGTTTTCTAAAAATAACATTTAAAAAAATCAAAGCAGAGTGCATTTCACAAAACATTGTAGACACAACTGAGAACTTTGCCACTGTGCTTTTTTAACAAAACAGGTTTTTAACACAAACGGTTGCCTCAATAGGTTTTTTTGTGTTACAGAAACGCAAATAAATATGAATTTTTAAAACCTCAATATTTATTTTTTTTCTTAATTTTTTATACCAAAATGTTACCTAATAATATATTGAATCTACTTGTATAGACTTCAAATGATACGCCTTGGGGCCCAAAAGATACAAAATATATATTCTGTCCTGTTTTACATTTTGAGGCTGTTGATTGGTGCAAGACTGACTCAATGCATGCTGAAGACATAAGATTTCTTAAACAAAATCTTGCTTACAAGGAAAATGCAAAGCATATTTACAAAAGAACACAGCCATAGGCTCAAACTAATAGGAGGGAGGATAAATATAAAGTTTCCTGTTCCCTCTGTACGACAAACACTGTGGCCAATGGGCCAGATCTCCAACATCACAGGACTAACAAAACTCAAGCCTGCCTTTACTGCCAATCTCCAAGATGGCCGAACAACATATCACAGTCCCTTCACACCTCAGCACATGAATGCAATCCCAAAAGTACAGCTTCATGCTGCTTCGCTGATTGAACAACGTTATACAACTCTACAGAACGTTTCCAAAAATGAATTATTAAAAAAGCAAGAAAAGATCCTATAACACATTCTATTAACACTCAGCATGTTTGTCTTCAGCTGATGTTTTCCCATATAACACTGAAACTTAAAATGTGGCCTTTTTTTTAAATCACGTCCGTTATAAACACGATTATACAAAAATATGAACAGAAAGAGACGAGAAAACGTCCTTGGGGAAATAAATACCCAGTGTTTATGCTGCAACTCCACTGCAAAAGTTCCACAGAGAAGAAGGTTTCTCTAAAGAACTTCCTGCGTACGACCTGAAACCATCAGCGCCTCACATGTCAATAAGCAAGTGCTGCACATAAATAAGACA